ATTAAGGTAACTAAATCTAGGATGACCGTTTCTCTGACCAGTGAAAAAGAGTGCAGCATCTTTATGAACGAGTTTTTAAGCTTTCTCACGTACATTTCTTTTCTGATATTTCGAAAACTCGATCGGATACTCGGTATCGCGGACAGTGAAAAACTTCGTTGTACACTTTCGTTTCGGCCATGCTTGACGGAAGGAATCTCGAGGGTTATGATAAAGGAGAATAATACCTTTGCAGCAGGCGGAGCAGCTCTACTTTATTGCGGAACACAGTAACAATAAGATAAATTACTCAGTGCTGATAACGCATTCCACGCACATGAACTTTTCTCTATCGGTACGATTATTAAGCGCGTCAAAGCGACTCAGTGTATATTACGTATTTATTCCTTTATCACACTTCATAGCAATCATTTGTCAGGGGTAAAAAAGCAGTATTGGTAAATTAGTTTAACGGGCTTACGCTGCTTATGGTGTTGCTTTTATCAAAAAGAAAGAACGGACCAAGCACAACAATAACTGTGATATTTACACTTTGAGCGTCGTGAAAACCTCTCATTGAAAGTTCCAAACATAGTTTTTGCATAGCAATGGACTTGCGGTATATACTTTTGGCGAAAAGTGCTCGATTTCAAGTTCTCACATAGCTGAGCTCAGTTTTGTTGGGTTTCCATATCCGCGGAGAGGGGTCCAAAACCGCTGGTGGATTTGGACCGGGGGATCCATATCCGCTAACAGATTTGGAGCGGGGGGGGTGCAAATCTAGAGGAGTCCAAATCTGCTAGGACACCAGCATGGATAAAAACATTATGACTTGATCAATCAGTGTTTTGAACGTGGTTTTGAGCATCTGGGAGGCCATTGGTGGAGAAGCGCACTTATTTTTTTTTAATCTTCATTTCAACTCTTTTAGTCGAGTTATCCTTTCCTATGGGGCAGTCAGTATCAGGACTACAATCGTTTGTGTACCACCACCCCATCTTGCAGACCTCTGCACACTTTCCTTTATCTTTCCTATCTCTTGTTCTGAAGTCATGTTCGCCATTTTTCAAGGGATCCCAGTGGTCTCCTATACAAATAATAAGACAGGATTACTATGGACAAAAGAGTAGATGAATGAAGCAATGGTTGTAAAAGTGATCAGACAGATAAAGTCACAAAAACAAACATAAATTACAAGTCTGACTGAGTTCGACGCTTTTTAGCTATGAGGGCATTATAATTGTGTACGAGCATTAAAGAGGTGACACAAGCCACAACAGCTTTTATGAAGCTCCTTTGCATTTGGAAGATTATATGATGAATTCACCTTTAAGTTGGTCTTTCACAGAAAGCCTGTGGTCAGATAACACTTTAACGGAAAATTCGACAAAGTGAGTCCGATTATCTTCCCATTTTTCCCAGTCAACTCGAATTTGCCAGACACCATGTTTTGCTAGGCGGTGCAGTTTTTTCGTCCCGAGCCATAAGTCTCCAGATAGATTTCCAAAGCCTTCTTTGTATTTATCCCAGACTTTGTCGAAGCTGAAGGAGCTAGCTAATTTCCTTTGAAATACTGTCCACCCGCCCCCTGCTATCGTTTGGTTGCAGAAAACATCAAAGACTCGTGAACCGGAAGGTTTAATCGTGTAGACTCCACTGTCTACCTTTCCAGAACTGTACACCTCAGCACAGTCCCTAGGATCTGGAGGCAAAACATGTACTCAGATAAACCTTGGAAGTGATAATGAGTGATTTGAATTAATTTTGAGTTTAAAGTTGATATAGCTTTAAAGGATGTACTAGTGACCATGCATTATTTGCGAAAAAAGAAAACTATCAAGTTACCCTGCTGGGATCCATAATATTATCGACTCTTGAACATTCAAAGAGACTCCATTCTAGCAAAATTGTTCATATAGTTATGTACTTTCTTTTGTTTTATTCCATCTCATTTATTATAATTTTAGATTCACACTTGCCTTTCCTCTTATTTCGTCACTGAACCTATCATAATTTACATTTGATAACGGTACATGTCGTCGCCGAACCGTGATGTTTTTATCGTGCTACTTGTTATGATGAAATGCTTTCCTAAATCTTTTCTTTTCAGAAATTATTAGAACAAACAAATTTTAAGCGTTACCATTGCGTTACGTGTGACGTCACTGTGCGTGCGCAGTGAAGTGTAGAAAAAAAGCATGGTCGGTGCGAGCGGTGCTCGAGCTTTATGTTAGCACTAAGTTATTTTGTAAGATTTCTGCTACCTTCAACGTTGTTCAACCAGAGTCGGGATAGAGGTACGTAGAAGTTGTTGTTATCGTTTTCGTTGTCATTAGATTCGTTGATTGTCTGGCGCCTCAAAATAGTTTGTAGTTTCATGTTGTTTATAATCGCTCAATGACTCCTATCTATTTTCACTATAAGGCAGTTAAGGTCAGTCGCCCATTGTAGCCTTCGTTTCAGTTTAACGTATTGGATCATTAAAGTTACGTCGTGGTTTATTGATGACTCCGATTCAGTCTGAAAATCTATCGCCGTAACACAAACATTCCTGTGGTTAGGGCTGCGTCGTTGAAAAGAACTAGTTGTTGCCCGTTAGAATTTCTCGATAAGTAGTATCCTTGTCAAGAAAGTTGAGATTCTGTATATAATCAGATTTGTTATAATTAGCAATTAGTATTTTTTTTTCGCCCAGAATAAGTTAGTTCTTAAGTGTGAGATTTGATTCCAACTAACGAAACTCTTCATAATGTTACAGTATGTACTCATTCTTTAGTCCTCTTACATTTACTGCATGTCTTTCCGTCACCAGTATAGCCTGCTTTACAGGAACAATAATAGGAGCCTTGCGAAATCCAGCAGTGAGCATTTGTGTCACAAGGACGCGTAGACGAGCACTCTTCAATAGCTAGGGAAAATAAAATAACTGTGAAAATAGTTTCCCAGTTACTCTCAATACCTTGAAAAATAAACACACACACACACATACACACACACTATGGAAATGAATTAATTTTACAATAACATCAACGATTTAACTTGGTGTTTAGTTCATTTGAGTTATTTTATCAGGAATTACAAGTTTGGTTGATCCCGCGGTATTTTTGTGTGAACGGAATAGTAATGGATGTACATCAGTTGTGGATAATTCAACGAACTCTTCCATGTCCGCGATGAAATAAACAAATTTCACCCATAAATGAGCTTAGAAAACTTTCAATTCAACCTCACTCGTGTGTGATCCCCGACACTTACTTATTGAATTTCTTATGTCCATGACAAATGAGGGTTGGAAGATGGGATTGGATGACAATGCACGAGTTTAAAGATAAAAACCTGTATTTTGTTTTTGACATCATCTATTCGCTCAGAAAAATTAGTTTTACTGTTTTTGAAAACTGTTATGATGGGAAAATTTAGTGATTTTTCCTTGTCGACGTTTGGGCATATTAATTCGTTGTTGTCGGAATTTTAGCGTTCACAGTTAATAAAACGCTAGAGGTAAATTTTGAATAGTCAACTTAAAATTGTACAGCTGCATATCGGTACTCTTCTTGTTGAATTCTAGTGAAAGACTTGTCAAATAAGAGTGTTAAGGGTCTTTCTGGCAAAATTTGTTCTCACTGTAGTTGGCAGCTAAGGTTATACACCTAATTTTAATTTCCTTTTATACGATAGTTTCCACACCAACCTTGCATAGATAAGCAGAATGATCCTTCGGTATTTTTACATGTTGCACTGTCCATGCTGCAGTTGTGGATTTCGTGAGCACATTCGTCGATGTCTATGACGGAATCAGCGAAATCTTTAAATGTGTAAGAGGGTGCACAAGGAGCACGGTAGAAAAAGATGAGACGCGATTTAAAATTGGGAAAGATATCACCCTTAGATCACCCTATGTCAGCTAACATACAAGATTGCATGAGTATGTATAAAACAAAAACAGGTTTCAAAACTTGGAATTTTGTTTTCTTAGCTATAATTGCATCATTCCATCGTCCAGTGAATAGATATTCGACTATTGTTTGCGGTAGGAGGGTCTCTTTCTTAAGCGAACAGATATCGGCAACAGCGAAGTTCGTCTTGAAAACAATCGTATCCATCCCTATTGAATTACATCCAGGATTACACGACCAAATGAACGATCTTATGGTGTTACTGCAAATGGCATTTTCATTGCAGCAGTTATGGGTACTTTGAGGGTACTCTTCTATGTTTAGAATTAACTGAACAAACTGCATCATGATCGTAATAACGAGCAACACGGTTGGAGAAGGGAAAGCCAATCCGGTAAAATAAAGTTAAAATATTCTTCGACTTCTAAAGTACCAAATGGCGGTGGAACGAAGGGAAGTGAAGAGAAGACAAGTTAATGACATCTCGTTTTTTCTTCATATCGCTTCGCATTTGTTGCACATGTAGCTATCAACAACATACTGAAGATGAAAGGAGGAGTGAGTCGGGGAAGGAAGGTTTTAACACATAATGTTAAAAATACAGCATCGCCAGCTCATCTTTTTTTGAAGGCATGATAAAAGTAAAATATCAATAAGGATTCTGGGACCCGTCTCTGTTTTAGGGCTTGTGTTAGATCGTTCAATAAAGATTAACAGGTCATGAAAGATACCCTGCCTTTGTAAGTTTCACCTCCTGATATGTTAAACCATCATGCTGTAATTAGTTAAGGCATGTTTTTTTTTTAATAGCATTGATTTATACTATTCCACAATTCCGTAACAGAGCAATTGACTGCTGCTAAAGAACCGTAAGGAAGCAGAAAAAGGTAACAGGGAACTTAATTTGTTAAGTAAGACAGGCTGTGAATTACCTTGGCAGATGTGTCCATCTCCAGTGAATCCAGGATCACAAGAACAGTTGTGGGATCCCTCAGTGTTCGTACAAGTAGCATTGTTCCTGCTGCAGTTGTGGGTATTGTGAGCGCATTCATCGATGTCTGAAATGAAATCAGAAGACCCTACTTATGGTCATGATCACGAACACAAAAGCTAAAGGGAAAAATGGGAAGAGAGGTCCCCAATAAGCTCTGAATTATATCGAGTTACCATATGTATTGAATACAGGGGGAAGTTTCTAGAGAAGCTGTGGTGCTGCGTTGGTGGAAATAACAAGGTAATTTCGTTTTATCAACTGAGTTGATTATGTGAATTAGCCGCCGTGAAGACCTCAAAAGCTAACATTTCGAGCTGATAAAGAAATCTGAAACTATATAATTCTCTTAAGGAGACTCGAAAGGGTTCTTTGACCGCGAGGAGAATGGATTCCAAGATACACGCAAGCTTGTTACTCGCGAGGGAAATAAGCGATGGCGCGCGCGATCAGATCCGCGGGCGAGTTCTAAACAAACATGGCCGCCATGATCGTTTCAAAATTTCCGGGTACCTCTAGCTCTATTGTTTCCTGCGGAAGTGGTTATTTGAGAAACAAAAAATGGAAAGTTTACTTCTTGAAGGCAAGTAGGAAAATGTTCGGATGGCAGGATTCTTGCCGAAAGTGGTCAAAAAAATTTTATTTAACAAGCTAAAGGAGGATTTAAGTGGATACCAATGGGTGTTACGATTTGTTTCGCATTGAATATTATTCCTAATAAAATGAAATGACCGAGAACTTTCCTAAACAACTCACTGGAAGATGAAAAGGAAAATGAAATCATTTTTGGATCCAGGACGGTAAACATTGACAGTTTTATGAACGGAAATGGAGAAGTGTAAACGTTGCCATAAAAATAAACATAACTTTCAGTAAGCAAGAGATCGTAAAAATGTGGATGAGACTTTAATTCTAGTTCAACAACTGACGGTAAAATTGAATTAAAATTTTTATCTTAAACTTGGGAGAAAGATTGTTGATATTTCGCTCGATAAACTGTAAATTACAACTACGAAAAGGCAAACTCGCATTTGTTAAGAAAGAATTG